TACTGAGAACTTGGAAAATTATACATATCAGTGCTAGACGCAGGAAGATCTTAATGATTTTGGTCAGGAATTTGGAGGAGTAGTCAGGCAAACAAGTATCTGTGTATTACTAAATTGACTTGGACTATGTCTTGGACTATGGTAGGTCTGTCCTGCATTAGAGTAGGACATGACTGTGTCAGATTCTGAAGCTTGTTTGCCTGTGTTGAATCATTTCTGCTATTACTACAAAGTACTGCAAGACTTTGTAGAACTAGCCTGTGCTATGGCATTGCAGGAGGCTTTTCTGCCTTCATCAAGGGTCAATTTTGGCATTACTGACTGATTCATGTAGGCATCTCTTAAAGGCTAATCAAACATGACCAAATCAGTTTCATGAGTTGAGTATAGGTAGACTGCTGTCCAAATAGGTATATTGGGTGGGAAAGTCAGGGGAAGAAGAACTTGAACTGGGACTTTGTCAGAGCCTGAAACATGAATTAAGTACAGACATACAAATAAGCTGAGATAAGGACAAGCTACATCTTGAGACTTCTTTTCATTTTTACGGTGATATAAAACTTCATTATTTTCTTAGCAATGAAAGCATTTTAAGGGTAAGTACTGTTTAAAAGCTTTCCTGACAGTCTGCTCCTGAAGAATAGACACTAGTAAGCACAGACAGCACCCATCCTAATACACAGTTTTCCCAGTACCAGCTTTTCTCAAGTCTCAGCAGGTTCAAGTATCCCCCCAGGTAGTAGCAGGTAGTATCCCCCCCAAAGTGTCAGTCAGGTGTTTGATATCTAACAAAATGTGCTTCTCTCTGAATACAAATAATAATGACAAGACTACCCAAATTCAGCAGTCTGCAGACCAGCACACAAGTTTTAGCAGTTCTGCTCGTAATACATAGGTGACTGCACAACCCTTTGTAGAGGCAGTTTGTAACCAGCCTTTTTCACTAGTGTTTTTTAGCCATGTGATCTGTCAGCACTGCACGCCTGTTTGAGCTGACCAGGAACAAACTAAGACCCGTCAGCACCTCGTAAAACCAGGGACATGGAGTTACTGCTGTGTGTCAGTAAGTTACTGAATTGTGGATTGCCATGATCTTAATCCTAGTCAGCTGTGAACTAAAATTAGGTACCAATAAGTAAGTCACTTGGATAAGGAAGTAAAATTTCAGATAAATATAAAGGACCTGATGGTAGGTTGGTTCCTGCTTGTTTTCTCTGCACATGATCGGGGGTGCTAAATGCCAGTTATAGATAATAGACATCTGGATGGTTTCAGTTGTCCCAGCAGAAGTATGGTGTCATTTGAGCTACCCTAGGATATTCTGCCTATCCTCCAGTTGGTTTTCCAGAAGACCAAGGTCTCCCATTGGGTCCTGAATCATGTCTGCCAGCCTCATTCAGGTAAGACATCTTAAAAAGGTCTAGGCACCTACATTAAATCCTACCACGAATCCATACAGTTATTGGGATGTAGGTAGTGGTCCTGCTGGGTGCAGTGGTATGGCTGCTGTACTGTACTGGGGAATCACTCACTCTACTCCATTGAGTAGGTTGACTTGGACTGGGATACTGTTAGCTTGGTGTAAGTAGTGCCGTGTGAGACTTCATAGGCTGTTTAGGACATCTTCATTGAAACAGCAGATGGGGCCTATGCCTGCGTCTTTCTGGAATGGCAACTAGATGCCTGTGTTCAGGTGGCTGAGTGGACCCTGAGATCTCCATTGCCTTTAGGGGGAGTTTGGGCATCTAGTTCACATACGGACAGCGAAATATTAGGTGTCTTCTGCTCAAAATGAGGGCCACCCTAGGAGTGGGATTCCTTTGCCTGAAGATGGGTATAGGTGCAAAGTATCATTTGACACATTCTGTCATATGCCAGCTGTTCCTGTGGAGTTGCGAGATGCAACTTAGCATTTATGGGAGACTGACAGCTTTCTGAAACTGGCTGGAATTAGGGCCAGAATACTCTGAAGTCTCTAAAACTGCATTAGACACCTAATTCTAGGCAAATTAATTCTGTCCTAGATTTATATAGACTCTCTGTTCTGTCTGGCTTTTTCCAGCTTTATTTCTATGTGGTTTTGAACTATTTCATTAATCTATGTCCACAGAGCCTGAGGACTTCGATGCACTATTTTCTATGGTTAGTTGTTTTTTTTTAATGGAAATGATACAATTCCCCTTCATGCACACTCCATAGGGTTTCTTCTTGCCTGCTTTCATCTGTCTGTAGAATGTGTCTTGTCTTAACTGGGTAGCAGGTTTTGTCTATGATTAGTGGAGAGAGATGGACTCCCAAAGAGTGACTTACCCTGCATATCTTAGATATCTTTTCATTTTCTATAGAGGCAGATGAGATAACTTGCTTAGAAAATAAAGTCGGGTGAAAAAATCCCACATTGCTACATTTCATACTTTTTCATTGCAGAGAGGGAGTAAACAGTACCTCCTTATCTGTGTGGAGGGATAACCTGTGGGACACCCTTCCTCCTTTCCTCATGGTAGAACCAAAATTTATGAAAATGCTGGAAGATCTCTCTCCATTGATAGGAATAGGGACATCTGAGAATTATGGGGCAAGTCCTCCGCAGTCCTTGCTGTACAAGCGGGCAGCATACTTGGAAGTGCAGATGACAGAGAAGAAATTGTGTGCTTGAGCATGGTGATGTCTACATTTTAGACACTAAATGAGTCAGGTCCAAGAGAGAAAGAATATATGGCACCTTTATGAGGGAAGATTTGGGTGTGCAGTGGGTTGCAAATGGTGGCATATTTGTTCCCAGTGGTACTTTCAAAATCATAGTTGAAGAGTTGGGTGTGTAGCATTTTGTCATGACACGTAATGGCTTTTATTCTTTCATCAGGCTAATGGAGCTTCAGTGTGAAGTAAAAATTGAGCCTGTGCTTAGGTCAGATCTCATTTTTGATGTTGGACTTTGAAATAATTTGTATATTAATTTCTCATTAGCATTAAAAACCATTGTATTAATATACACAGATGGTAGGACTGCCTCACATTTATGTGAACTATTGATGTGTTATAAATGAGGGCATGTACATTGAAATTTGCAACTGAGAGCTTGATTTAGGTACAAGCACGTAAGTGTGTACTGTGATTCACAGTCTTCAGGATTGTTCTGTTTGGGTTTTTGTTACCACTGTAAAAGGGCATGGTTCTAGTCTCCTCTAGAGCCAGTGTCAGATCTGCACAGATGTTTTATATATCCTATGATGACTCAAAGGCAGCATCTTTCTGTATGGGGACTGCTGAGCTGAGCCTTGATTATTGATCTTAACTTTGGTTGTCCTTTGCTTCCAATTGCTTTTCTCCCAGCAGTGAGAATTCAAATTCTCCAAGAACACTAGAATGATAGAATTCATTATTTTTTGCAGGGTAATTAACAGTGTCTGTGTGAAAAAAAAAAATTGTTAATAATTTTAACTGCATAATGTTCTTAGTAATGCTGGCAACTGGAAATCATTGTGGTTCAAAGCTTGACTGGTAAGAGTGTATGAAAAGAAAACTGTGAACAGCATCTATCAATAAATTGATGATAAAATTTGCCAACATACCAACTGCATGGAGTGGAGTTATACAGCTTTCTGTATCCTTCCAGGGAAGGCTAAAAATGTGTGTGACATTTTGATTAGTAATCTGTCATATATATTCATCACACCTGTGACTTTGTATGGCAAGAATATAGGTTCGTGTCATCATAGCACATATGAACAAACATTAACTGATAAGTCTCAAAATACAGATGTAAACTGGGAATAGTTACTAGGTAGGCTTTTTTCTAATGAATAGATCTCATATATTTTACCATTTTATCAATGACCTGGAAAAAGGCATGACGATTTCTACTGAAGTGTTGATGACAAAAAGATGGGATCTTGATTCATAGAGAAGTCAAAATTCTTTGATAAGCTAGGTGCAAAGAAAAAGTATGGTTTATATGGTGAAGGGCTTTAGAGATAGGGTAGTTGAGATGAGCATATGCTTCACAGGGTGATGCTGTGGCTACATAAGCAGAAATAATGTATTAAATTGTCTCTGGTTTTACTGCTGGCAAGACTACCAGTGGCATATTATGTCCAATTCTGCTTCTACAATGTAAGACAGATGATAAGAAATTGGAAGAAAATCAAAGGAGAGCAGTGAGAATGGTTAGTGAGCTTGAAGATAATGCCTGAATATAATGCAAGGCTCCTGGAACTTAATCTATTTAGCTTTCAAAGAGAACATCAGGAGACTGTTTCAACTGACTGCAAGACCATGGGAAAGAAATTTGGTAGAAAAGTTCTCACAGTAACAGATAAAATTATACCAAGACAAGTGGTTGAAATCTGGTGCTAGAGGTAAATAGGAAGTTTTAATAAAACAAATTAAATTGAATTATTGGAATAATTTTTCAGGAAGTATGGTAAGTTGTTTTTCATCAGACTTTTTTAAATCCAGATTGGTAGTTTTTCAGTTACTGTGTGTTCTGGTGGAAAGAGAAATAATTTCAAGGGTGATTTTTGTCTTGTATTGTGGGATCTGGGCAGTTCTTAAGAATAGACCTTCCTCCTTTATATATCTCTGAAACAACAGATAAAGTGATATTCCTATAATGAAAATGTACTTTCAAACATATTCAGTTATAAAAGTATCTTCATTTTTATAAATACTGAAAGTATGTCTGAACTCAAAAGGTAATAAAAGGTGCCTAGCTAAAAATTTGTTCAGTGCCTGGAATAGTATCTTATGGAAAACTGAGATGCTGTTTTCCCTGACTAACTAGTCCCTGGCTAGTGATTTCTAGTTGATACAGGGTATTAATATGGTATTAAAGAAAATTTTATTTAGGAGTTGTAAACTGCTGTTAAATGAATACGGCTGAGCCCTCAAATGCTCATATGTATGTTGTTACTATGTGACATGAAGTCAGTACTTGAAAGTAATTGTGTTACTTAAAGTGGAATTTCAGGTGCATTAATTACAGTCTTTCTTTTCAACAGGCCCATGCTAAAGTTTGGCATCTCTACAATGACCATTTTCGTCCAACTCAAAGAGGAAAAGTGTCCATTTCCCTTAGCTCCCACTGGATAAAACCTCAACGTATGACTGAAAAAAACATAAAAGAATGTCAAAAATCCCTCGATTTTGTGCTTGGCTGGTTTGCCAAGCCCATATTTATTGATGGTGACTATCCAGAGAGCATGAGGAGCAACCTCTCATCTCTGTTGCCTGAATTCAGTGAGGTTGAGAAGAAGTATGTCAAGGGAACAGCAGACTTTTTTGCTCTTTCATTTGGAGCTACCCTGAGTTTCCAGCTATTGGACTCCCACATGAAATTCCAGCAGTTGGAATCAATAAGCCTGAGGCAGCTCCTTTACTGGATAAGCAGTGAATATAACAACCCCAAAATATTCATTGTGGAGAACAGCTGGTTTGTTTCTGGTAGCACCAAGAGAGATGATGCCAAGTATATTTACTATCTCAAAAAGTTCATTATGGAAACTTTAAAAGGTATTGTATTAATACTGAGGTTGTATTAATATGTGCTTGACAGACTCATAATGCAAAATAGTCTACAGAGACATGTTGAAGAACCAGGCTGAAAACTAATTTTAGTCTTTAACATTCATCTTGGCACTTATGAAATGAGACTCCAAATCCCTTTTCTGGGTTTATTATTTTCAGCTTTTGAAGACCCTTAATATCTGCAGATAGCATTTGGTGAGCTTGATGCTGCTGTCTTTGAAGTCAGTGGGAAAATTTCTTCTGTCTTTGGTGGGAGGAAGTGCAAAACGTGAACTGTACTCTCAGTGGACTTACGGAAATTTACTGTGCTGTTTATTAATAGTTGTTTTCTATCATTTAGATGTATGAACATATGTACAAAACCTAAGACTGTATATATGGGAAGGTAAATACAATGCAATAGGAGTTCCTCTGAGAAACACAGAGGGATGAAAGAATACATTTCTAAATGAAAAATTGGAACCTTTTCATCCTGCATCTCAGTGTTGCCCTTGCACAGGTTTTACATGGGTACAGCTCTGGACATCAATGGCAAAAATCTGAATTTTAAGAATTTTCAGTTTCAGTTTTCATCTGAATTTTCAGTTTAAGAACTGAACATTTGAGGTTATGTAATCTACATTATTTAAATTGTTAACCTATTATTTTTTTTTCCAAAAGGTAAGAGAAATATGCTACCTCGTATGAGAGTTATTTTCTGTTTTCCCATTTTCTTGTGGCAAAACAGATTTTTTCAATCCTAGTAGTCACCTGTAAGTTGTGGGGTTACCATTTCCACTTTCATTGTCTTTTAATTTCTTAATTTACAATTTAATAATGTATTTACTTGTCTATAGTTTACTGTCTGATTTAAAAAACAGTATTACTGTAGCTGTTAGCTCAGATGAGAAAGCCATTGTTGCATTGCCATTTTTATACAGGGGATAAGCAAAAATGGGTCTCATTTTATTCTCAGTACTCATGAAGATGCAGAGGATTCCCACATCTGTTTCATCTACTATTCCAGAAACCTAATTATTGCAAATAAATTAAATTCCCATCCAGAATGGAAACAATAAAATGCAAACCAGTTACTAACACTTGCAAGTATAGTATTGCTAGTTTGGATGAAGTCAGATGAAGGGCTCATTTTCACAGAGGAGTGATATTCCTGTCACCCCTATTTCTGTTTAGTTTATAAATTGCTGGACATATAGATGTTCCTTTTAATCACAGCTGGCTAGAAATAGTCTCAATTTGCAGTGTTTCTTTCCTTTTAATGTGCCATTCAGTAAATAATAATAATAACAGCAACAACAATACAGTTATTAATATGTACTAGTTAATATGACAAGTTTTCTCATACTAACTTAATACCAGCACTTGGCTAAACATTTTATGGAAAGAAAAGGAAAACAGCAGAGGCAGACTGGATCAGCAGAAGGGAGTTTGGCATCATTATGATGGAAATTATTGCAATTAAATCTTCTGCTGCTAGAATGTGCAAAATTCAGTATAAATACCAAAGTTTCCTATGCGTTATCTGGGGGAATTCAGTTGAGGAAGATCCACGAAAGGCATCATGTTGGCTGTGAGCAGTCTTGTTGGACAACATTAAAGGCCAAAGACAAAGGCACCTGTTTTCTCTCTCAAAGATTTAGGATGCATCTAATATAATAAATAAACACTGTAAACAGTGTAATAAAACACTTTAATGTAGAGATTCGTGAGCTATTTACCATGAGATTCACTCCAGCAGTCTAGGGACAGTAAAATGACACTGGAGCTATAACAGAAACAAGGATAATTAATTTAGATCCAGGGTCACACAAAACTGCTTATGTCTATTTCTGTGTTAACAAGCAAGTGCAACCCTATTGGACTAAGCCTGTTGATTAGAAAGAGCTGGTGTGGAGGGTCTGGTGTCCACACTGTGTGCATTCCTGAAGACTGTTCCTAGTTTAATTTCACCTGAAAGGAACTGAGAGCATGTATCCTGAGACCACTCTGTGATATGAACCAAAGTGTGATGAGGGAGATCTGCTCAGTATGCTCCTGACGTCAGTTGAAGTGCTGATGTCTGTTCTCACACTGCATGCTGTAGACAAGCTCTGTGGCTCTGGGAAAGGGTCTTTTTATTTGGGATTCACAGCCCTATATTCTTTTACTGTTTACAATATTTTTATATTTATTTATTTATTTATTTATTTATTTATTTTGGTCCCAAATATCATTTAGGGTTGAATAGAGTAATTACAGCTGTAATATAATGTAGTTACATGTTAATTAGAGTTAGAATAGAATAGAATCGTAGAGTAGTTAGGATTGGAAAGGACCTTAAGATCATCCAGTTCCAACCCCGCTGCCATGGGCAGGGACACCTCACACTAAACCATGTCACCCAAGGCTCTGTCCAACCTGGACTTGAACACTGCCAGGGATGGAGCATTCACAGCTTCCCTTGGCAACCCATTCCAGTGCCTCACCACCCTCACAGTAAAGAACTTCTTCCTTATATCAGATCTAAACTTCCCCTGTTTTAAGGTTGAACCCGTTACCCCCTGTCCTATCACTACAGTCCCTAATGCAGACTCCCTCTCCAGCATCCTTGTAGGCCCCTTCAGAGACTGGAAGGCTGCTATGAGGTCTCCACGCAGCCTTCTCTTCTGCAGGCTGAACAGCCCCAACTTTCTCAGCCTGTCTTCATACGGGAGGTGCTCCAGTCCCCTGATCATCCTCGTGGCCTCCTCTGGACTTGTTCCAACACTTCCATGTCCTTTTTATGTTGAGGACACCAGAACTGCACACAATACTCCAGGTGAGGTCTCACGAGAGCAGAGTCGAGGGGCAGGATCACCTCCTTCGACCTGCTGGTCACGCTCCTTTTGATGCAGCCCAGGATACGGTTGGCTTTCTGGGATGCAAGCGCACACTGAAGCCAGCTCATGTTCATTTTCTCATCAACCAAAAGTTGATCGTTTGATGGAGATTGGTTGGTATCTAACCTCTTACTCTAGGGTGATATTCACTTCCCTGCTCTGTCTTTGGTGCAACAAATAGATTGTTCCTTGTAAAGTGGAGCATGTTGACCAGGAGAGCTCTGTGCTGTTGACTAGCCAAGCCATTAGGTCATTATCTAGGGATTTAACAGGTCTGAATTCAGAGTCTCAGGGAGAATGGGAACATCCAGGCCCCTGACAGATTGTGACTGAGCTGTTCTTGGGTATGTCCAAAGGCAAAATGTAGATCCCTGCACACCTTCTGCATAGAAACAGGGGCTGAGGGCTTCGCACACCTCACCTTCATGCCTTGTGGTTGAACAGCAGCTGAACAGAAGGTTTTAAGGATCTATATTTGATGCTTATGGGTCTGCCATATTTCCTTGGACTGTTTCTATCCTAGTGAGCTAAACAGCATGTGAGCTGAGCTGCTGTTTAATTTTTAACCCAGTTCTGGCCTGCTTAGTGGAACATTTCTTCATATGATGTGCGGGATTGCTCAGGTCAGGTGTTACTTTCAGTAGGTCTTATGTTTAAGGCCACTCAGAAGTGGTTTCAGAAGCAAGGACACTTTAGGTTTCAGTCAGCCAGTGTTGTGCACCACAGACATAAAAAAAGAGCAGAGAGAGAAAAAGGAAAAAGAAAGAGAAAAAAAAGACAATAATTTTCATTGTGGTTTGGTGGCGTTTTTTGTTTGTTTTCCCTTTTGAGATACTGGTTTGGAAACTTCCAGACTTGTTCAAACTTACAAAAAATTTCCATGTTGCTTCTTTCATAGGTGATACTTACAAGTTAATACATTTTTAAAGAAGGCTTTGAAGAGAATTTTTATGAGGCACTCAAGAAGTGTGGGAGTGCTGTATGATGACTTATAGAAGGGGTGAGATGCTGTTCAAAGAGAAAGGCTCACTGAGACGGGTTCACAAAGTGGACCTGTATTGGCTGTTACTTTACTCTGCTGGTATAGCAGATGTCATCATGGATGCATGCAGAGGTTAAAAAAATATTGGCATCTTCCAAACATAAAAGAATGGTGCCTTTAGGTGGAGAAATACTCCACTTCCTTAAGACATTTTCTCATGACCTGCGATAAAGACTGGGCCGAATTCATTGCTTACTTAACTGCAGTTCATTTAATTGATTCAAACAGGGTTGCAATCAAGAAACCATGTGGTCCTTCATAACTGATTGTAATGAGGTACATTAATAAAAACCAGGAAATTAGTATCTTGATATTCTGGTTGCCTGAAAAATCACTCTTTCAGTGTTACTAGAATGGCAAATATGTTCAGCGAGTACCCAGTTTGGGTTGACAGACGATGGTGAGTAATAAAGATAAACTCTATTGGCTACAGAGCCAAACTGGAGTTCAAAAGAACATTTAAGATTGCACTTAAATGCATTGCTGAATTAGGGTGGATCTAATTATGTAATTAAAATAAGCATGCTCCTTTGCGTTTTCCTGAAGCTGAACTTTGCTCAGGCATTTTGGATTTTGCTGAATCTCAGTGTTTAATACAACTAAAAGTAGTATCATCTGAATCTTAAAACTGTAATGTTGACTAAACTGACAGATGCCAGTAGACCCTGATATTAACTTTCAATATGTGTAGTGATAAAAGTCAAACAACTGACCTAGAACAGACATGTATTTTTAGAAACCCTTAAATATTTAAGCTGGAAAATACTATGCCATAAAAGATGTAAAGAGATAGAATTACCAAACAAAGAGGGTCTCTCTGCATTATCACTTCTACTTAAAATCTATGCTAATAAATATTCATCAACACACCAGAAGTGTTGTCAGGGTTTTCTTAGTACGTATTGGTAGTGGGAGGGGGAAGGAAAAAGAGTGTAACTTCTGTTTGCATACAGGATAGTGCTGCATTAATGGCACTTCGACTGCCCCAGTGTGAGCTGCAGTGTGTGTAGCAGAATGCAGTGCAGTTTTGGCTCAGTTGCTGCAGTCGGTTCAAGTGTAGCATGCTCTTCTTGGAGGCTGAGATTTGGCATGCCTAATTAGCAGCACTGCCTCGAACCACTGCTACACTGGTTCTCTTTTTAAATCTAGCTTGTTTAAAGCCAAGCCAGGTACCTCGGCTGCCTTGTACAGTGCACCCGTGACCTAGCAGCTACCTGGATGCAGTTGAAAATCTTCCCTAAACAGGCTTTGAGGCAGGCCCTGAGATATTTATCTGACCTATTGCATTGTTGTTACACCTGAACACAGCAAACATTGCTGATACAGTGTAATCTACAGGGGAAAAGGGAACACTGCGATAAGCTTGGTTTTGTTCTTTCCTCAGCCATCCGCTACGACGGAGTTAATGTGTTTGGCTACACGGTCTGGTCCCTCCTGGACGGCTTTGAATGGCACAGGGGATACAGCATTCGACGTGGTTTGTTTTATGTTGATTTTCAAAGCCATGACAAGAAGTTGATGCCCAAATCTTCTGTCTTGTTCTATCAAAAGCTGATAGAAAAAAATGGCTTCCCACCTTTGCCTGAAAACCAGCCCATAGAAAGTATTTTTCCCTGTGGCTTTGCCTGGGGAATTGTTGACAACTACATTCAGGTGAGTCTGATGATAAAGCCAACATGCTGCCCAGCCAGATCAGTGCATCACATTGATAAATTTGCTGGGTAGAGTGTCTTTGCTGATATATTATAACCACAGTGCTGCAAGCCGATGGTACAAGGCTTTTGTGCCAAACACTGTAATTCAGTCTTTACTAGACTTTCTGTGTGTGACCAGCAAATCCAGTCAGATTGAAAAATGTGCGGAAATTGAAAGGGGTCTGATGCTCATCTTCCCCGGGTGTGTTATGTGATCAGTTACTGGAAGTCAGTCCTGTTCAAATGAAAGTTCATTAGGTCTTATATAGTGCATTTCCAAGTCTATGAAATAGGAAATATTACTGCTTTTTCATGTCCATAATTTTAATGGTAATGTATTTGCCTGCTGTGATAATACATGTTTTAGAAAATGTCCTGAAAGCTCTTAAAACTCTAGTGGCATGCTTGTGCATCTTACGCATATATATACTGGTACCATCGTTAGAGCAATTTTATATAAAGAAAAGTAAACAATGCTAGATTTAGATGAAATTTCTGTATTCCTTCTTTGTCATTTTGAGTTGTACTGTGTCTGACGGAGGCCTGCAGTACGCCTGGATAGCACCTAGCTAGATTATGGATCCAGTTCATAGCTGTCACTCTTTCTTTCAAGCAAATCCGATACTTTGGAAGAATCTTCAAATTTTAAGACTTCATCGTATGAGTAGAAGTAGTAGATTAGTTGTGTAGATTAGTCTCTTTAAAAGTTTGGCTCTGTAATTCTCAGGTGCTGTTTTGGCTTGCAGGGCTTCTCTAACCACAGTAAAGAGGTGTAGTTAAATTCAACACAGAGGCTTGATCCAAGAACAGAATTTTTAATTTAGATTTTCCACAAACACAGAATCTTTCTTAAGGCTAGAGTGCAGGGGCATTGTTTGTTCCTTCTCACTCTGAAAGTGAGATCTGACTTTGTTCTCTTGAAAAATACTTCAGCATTCTTACTTGGAACACTGATTTCCAAGAAAATTCAGCATTCATTATCCTTGTAGCTCCCAGACAGATTAGGGATTAGAAATGGAATTGCTGCTTTAGGGATCAATAACAACTATAAAGTTGTGGAGTCAGTCAGCCTAAAACAGTTAAAAAAATCCCTTCCATCCCCAAAACTTCAGAGCTGAATATTTTCATTTCAAAAGGCCTTTCCAACATTTTGTGCTCTAAGGCTTAGGTAGTGTGATTTGTAGATGCATCACAGTGGAAAAACTCTTTTGACAGCATTCCCACAGTATTGGTGGCAATGCATGCTTTAGTAATCTACAAGGGACAATTCTCCAGAAAAGCAATTTCCTTCAGACACGCTGTTTTTGATTACTTTCTTCTATAAGCACAGTACCGACCTCTCCGGAGAAAACAGCAACTGATTTTCAGCAGCTTCTTTATATAGTCTGCAAAGCCTCAGCTACAAGTTGAACACTGGTTGTAGGCTGACACCTGCTTTTCAAACAGAGGGCAGGACAAGAAAATCTGAACTCAGGGGAAAACTGCCCTAAAGAGCGGGGGAAGGAAAAAGGGACAAATAAACATCTGTGGTACCAGTAACTTGTAGCTTGGCTCTTTTCTGTAGGAGTTAATCCAGAGTATGAATTAGGAGATTTTACACTGTATGTTCTATTAAGTATTTCACTTTTTTCATTTTCTAGTCCTTATTCTGTTTGTGATATTCATTAAAAAGTGAAAGTACAGTTGTGGAAAAGCTCATCTTCTACTGTGTCAGTATGTCATACAGGCAGTTCTGACATGAAGCCCTAGGGACTCATGGGAAATGCATTTATTGTTGGAGTGACATACTGGGTTTACTCAGACGCCTGAAAACAAATTGTTCCGACATAACAGCCTGCTGAAATAACTTGGAAATGAGTTCAGTATGAGTTAAATCAGAAAGGATGTCTTTAGCAAGAAGAAAAAATTTTGCTTGTTAACTGAATTTGTGCTAAAAATCAAGTGCAGGGCATTACTCATCTTTCATCATAATCAGGAAAAGAACTTTTTTACTGCATTCAGGGAGTGGTCTTGAAACTGAATCTACTGGGTAATTTACAACAGAGAGGCTCTCTGTAGGCCCTTTTTAATCTTGAAAGAAAAACATTTTAAAAATTACTGTAGTCTTTGCTGAAGCTCTTCTCTGGAGATCTGTCACAGGCTTAATGCCTTATCCCTCAGCAGTCCCTTGTTTCCCATACAGACTGGAGCAATCTGGAGAAGATACAAACATGGTGACAATCAGGATGAGCTCGTTCAGAAAGTAGGGTGAAAATTATATATAAATTTGGTACTTTTCTGATGTCACATGTTAACAGAAAGTTCATTCATTCACATGAGCCTGATGCTATCAGAGGTGCCAGCGGTGCTAGATGCAGTGTTTTGACTTCAGATATTTAGCTACATTGTGCCTGATAGTTATGATGTTCCCACCTACCTAGAACAAACAGATTGAATCTGGTATGTTTCTTATTCTACCTAGGTAGACACAACACCCTCCCAGTTTCTTGACTCTAATGTTTATGTGTGGGATGTTCACCAGACGAAGAAGCTTATTAAATTGGATGGAGTTTTCACCTCGAAGCGCAAGCGTCACTGTGTTGACTTTGCTGCTATCAGGCTCCAGATCTCTCTTCTGCAAGAAATGCATGTCACACACTTCCATTTTTCACTGAAATGGTCCTTAATCCTTCCTTTAGGTAACCTTTCGCTAATCAACCACACACTTGTACATTATTATCAGTGTTTTGCTACTGAACTTCTCAGAGTTAACATAACTCCTGTTGTTGCTTTATGGCAACCAATGGCTGAGAATCAAGAGCTTCCAGTCTCCCTTGCCAAATATGGAGCTTGGGAAAACATAGAAACCGTTCAGGCTTTTGTTGAGTATGCCAAATTCTGCTTTACAAGTCTTGGGGACCATGTCAAATTTTGGATCACAATGAATGAACCACCTGTGAAAAACTTGACATACACTGCAGGCCACAACCTCTTGAAAGCCCATGCGAAAGCATGGCATCTTTATGACAAAGAATTCAGGAGATCTCAGAAAGGCAAAATATCAATAGCTCTGCAAGCTGACTGGGTAGAACCAGCTTGTCCCTTTTCCAGGAATGACCAAGAAGTTGCTGACAGAATTTTAGAATTCGACATTGGCTGGCTTGCAGAGCCCATCTTTGGGAATGGTGACTACCCGCAGGTGATGAGAGCATGGCTTCACCGAAGAAACGGTGTTGACCTGTATAATTTCCACTTGCCTTATTTCTCAGAAGACGAAAGGAAGTTAATCAAGGGATCATTTGATTTTTTTGCTTTGTGTCACTACACTACTACTCTTGTGGGCTGGGAGAAAGAAGATGCAGTAAAATATGACCACTATCTTGAAGTTCAAATGATCAATGACATCACATGGCTGCACTCCCCCAGCAGAGCTGCAGTAGTGCCCTGGGGACTGCGTAAATTGCTCAAGTGGGTTAAATCAAAGTATGGTGATGTCCCAACTTATGTTCTGGCTAATGGAATTGACGATGACCAGAATATGGTGCATGATAAGCTCAGAGTGTATTATATACAGAATTACATCAATGAAGCTTTAAAAGGTAAGGAATCAGTAGTGGTGGCTTATATGTCACAAATCCCAGTATTAGTATACACTTTGTAATAAAGTATGTTTAACTTTAAAAAAATCCTACGTAGAATAATCTATAAATGGGATGTTACTACAGCATAACAGGTTTTCATTTGACTTAACGATTGGTGTTACTAAGCATCAGGAAGACTGACTTTGCACATACTCTGCATTAAGTCGGCAGTAGACATTTTTGTGGATTCCAGAAATTTAATATTATGTTACGTGTGTAGTTCCACATGGATTTAGGCAGATTTTCTTCTTATTGCACTTCTACTGTTGTTTTGCTTTGCTGCTTCTCCACACTGATGTGCCTCAGGGCTGGGTTTGAGTTCTGTTCCTCAGCTGCCTCTGTATCTTATCCAGCAGTGATCTTATCCAACAGTGATCTTCATAATAATTCAGCTCTATACCTCATTATGTCATTTCCTGCTATTCAGAACCCAAACCAGACTTTGTCTCAAAGATTCATACATTATAAGGAAAAAGGAGGCTTTTAGAGTCATCCTATCATACAACACACGCTGGTTTTCAAGAAAAGCGCAAGACCCAGATAAGATTTTTACTGATGTAGAATCTTCTACACCTCACTGTAAGCTGCTGCAATGTGCAATTGCTGCTTTTATATATGTGTGTGCGTAGATACATATCAATCTCACAGTATTTCTTTAGCTTTAAGCCTTTTTGTTGTGCATTTCCATGTATCTTACTTACGCTGGTATTCACAGACAGAAATCAAGTTATCTCTCACGTCTTTGATAAATAACACAGTCAAAGCTCTTTGTGACCCTTGCTGTAAAATGTCATTTAGAACCTTTCAATTATTAAACTTCCACATTTGCCAACATTCTTCTTGGGAGGAGTAAACCCAGACCTGGACACACTGCTTCTACAACTGCCACACCTGTATCTCAAGCAGATGTAATACAACCTCTTTTACTCCTCTTTTGTACATCTAAGCAGCATATTAGCCCTTTTGGCCATGGCATCAGGTTGGTTACACACACTTTGTGGTTATTTAGTGAGATTTTAAACTCAGTTACAGATTCCTGCCCCCAGGCAGAATATTCTCTGCCGAAGTATGGTCTACTTGTTCTTTGACATCCTTACATTTGGTCATGTTCAAATGCCAGTTGCTTGCTTGCGCAAAGCTTGCAACACTAGCTAAGTTATGTCCCTAATCTTTGTGTTAATTGCAAACTTTGGAAGGAATAGTTTTGCTTTTCTTTCAGGTTGTTGATATATTTAAGTTCATTTAATATCCCAGTGCTAAAAGCCAATCTCCATGACCATGGTAGAAATATACCTACTGTGAGATTTACCTGCAATTACATTTCTCAACATATTAGTTCTGTTTGAGAGCATATGAAACCTGTTTATTAGGGGCTCCTCTTGACCTCATAACTTTCTATTTTCTTGATCCAAATGCCATATAATACTAAGTCAGTTGCTTTGTGAAGTTTTAAGTGTATTACATCAAACATCATTACTTTTACTGATCTGCAGATCTCATAAAAAAGATGTCAAGTTAGTTTGGCAAGATTTATTTTTCATAAAGCTAAACTGACTGGCATTAAACATATATATCACCTGTAATTCTTCTTTATCAAGCCTTATATAATCTATTCCATTCTTCTGCTAGTAGTGAAGGATGGCTGGCAGTTCCATGATTTGCTAGGTCATCCTGTCCACTCTGTTAAGTACTGGCTTTTAATCTCTTCTTCTGTGATTTCCACCTCTCTCACAGATTACTGAACATCAATATTAAGTGCTCAAGAGTTCCTTCTCCAGCATTTTGAAGCCCTGGTTGAATGTTTTCTGCATTGGTAGTTAAACATATCCTGGCTATATTTGGGCATATGGTTTTAATCTTTTTTTTACTGTATGGCTTCTCTCCATCCTACCATTTTGGACTGTACCAGTTCTTGGCACTTTTCAAAGTGTGTATGGATATAGGCTTTTATCCCAGTTCGTGTTAGCCAGAGCACCTCCGCATAGAACAGTCTTGTTGAGCTTCATGAGGTTCATATGGGCCCACCTCTCCAGCCTGTCAAGGCCCCTGTCATGGTTTAACCCTAACTGGCAACTAAGTACCATGCAGCCACTCACTCACTGGCCCCCTGCCCCAAGTGAGATGGGGAGGAGAATTGAAGGAAAATAAAAATCAAAACCAGGACAGTCCCTCTGGATGGCATCCCTTCCCTCCAGCATGTTGACCGCACCACACAGCTTGGTGTCTTCAGCAAACTTGCTGACAGTACACTCAATCCCACTGTCTATGTTTCTGACAAAGATGTTAAACAGGTCCTAATATCAACCCCTGAGGAACACCACTCATCACTGGTCTCCACTTGCACATCAAGTCATTTACTGCAGCCCTTTGAATGTGACCATCTAGCTAATTTCTTATCCACCGAGTAGTCCATCCTCTGTTTTTTTACATACCCCTGTTTTTTACAGAACTTTGTGATTCGTACTCTGATACCAGTATCTCCCAGCCACTTTCTGTCCAGCCTTTCTGTCCTCCCTTTCTGTCCAGCCTTAAAATAGCTCCTGTGTTTTTCAACTTAGCCATCGCATGCAAGCCACATTTTACATTTTACTGTCTTTCTACCTTTGTAATGGATGACTGTGTCCCAGCTAAACAGGGACATAATACTTTCTTTAAAGCTCACTCTCCCATTTTTGACATAATATGCTCTTCTGTAGTGTTTGGTCCGTCATTAATACCATTCTCTTTTCTTCTCTTGTTCTGGTATAGTGCTTTTGTCCATCTTGTCCTTACACAAGAAGCAAGCTCTTAACCTTGGCATCATGACTGATTCAGGTTTCTTCAAAACTTGCATTTTTTTTGCAAGACCCTTTGCAGTAACTGAGATGAAAGGGGATTTGGAACATGTTTAAGAACCTTAAAGTTCCTATTCTGCCTTCTTCCAGCTGGTTTCTGGGATTGCATGTGGCAGCATTTGTGCGTGTTATGTTGCTCACCTGCATTGTTCCAGGGGAGCCAACAGGTTTGTGCAGATAAATGATTCCAGAATACAGTATGAACCCTTTGGACTGAGATGGTATTTTTAAGTGCTTTGTACACTAAGTGCTTTGTATACTGCCAATTGAAAACAATAGACAGCAGTAACCATTTATGTAGAACCATTAAATCCACAAGCAGTTCAGCAAGCACAAACTAATTCTGGGTAGCAGCTCTGTAAAAGGGCAGGTACATATTATTTCATTTTACACATGAAAAGTAGTCTAGAGGTGCTAAATATCTTGCATATGGCTGCAGAAATAATTATTTCCAGACACACATGAAAATTCAGCAACTATTAGTTTTCAATCCTGTGTTCATCTGCTACAAGACGTTGCTTTGTTTTGTTAAAAAATAGTGATTTTGAGAGGTAAAACATTACAGTTTGTTTTTACTACTGTGGATTAATTGGTTTTGTCAAGTGGGATGATGGCTCAAGGTTAATGCTGCTGGACCTCTTCCAGTAGCCAAGTTTTCAGTATGAATTGTGGACATGTTCTTAGTAAAGACTGACACAGGTCATCCTGGGTCAGAAACTCAGTCAATAACAAGAGAGAACTATGATTTGCATAACCTTTCCATTTGCACTGGTGATGTCTCAGTACATGACCTTAGCATGGTGCCATCTTTTCCTGGTGCCTCGGCTCATGAGAAGTGTAGCCTGATGTCCTCTGTTCCTTGGCTGTCAGGAGGTGCTCTGCAAGGAAGATGGAGCAATCGGAGAAATAGGTTGCAGAAATCCAGGTGCAGGAAAGCCAATACGTACGTTCTTTCATATATAAAAAAGAGGGGCATCTTTTCATGATAGGCTCCATGCTAATCATTAAACACAGTCATACACCCACAGCTGTGTTTACTAAGCACAAGGAAATAGATTGCAGGATACTCACAGATCACGCTGTCTGGCAGAGGCTGACAGATTTTTACTTATAAGAGAAACATTTCATAGATGTACATGTGCTTTACCTTATTTTGAGGAAGAGAAGTGCAGATGTGGGTTTAACATCCCCCTGCCTCTGCATTATGTATTGACATATGGTGCTGCTTTTGAATGCCAAAATGATATTTATTCATGTTTTCAACTCTTTATTTTTTTTTTTACAGCTTACACTCTGGATAATGTTAATCTGCAAGGATATTTTGTCTATTCCTTTAATGACAAGACTGCTCCTAAATATGGTCTCTACAGTTACATTGCAAATCAATACGAACCAAAGCCTTCTATGAAACATTACAAGGAAATAATTGACAATAACGGCTTTCCTAGTCCGGAAACTCCTGAGGCGCTGTGCCCAGAGGAGAGTGCCTCATGTCCTGAATGCCACTTCTTCCGAACCAGAAAATCATTATTAGCCTTTATCTCTTTCATATTTGTTGCTTTTGTTGTTACTATATTCTTCATTATTTACTACTCCAAGAGGATAGAAAGAAGGTATAAATAGAGCTGCCCCTTTGAATACATCACTCGCTGCCCTTCCTCTTGCATTCCCTTGGGAAATTTGAAATAAGAGTGCACAATGTCATTTCTTCAGCACTAGGAAGACATTTACACTTCCTGATACTGCAGGACATTGACACTGATAAGAAATTGCTAGCATATGGCTTCCAGAAATCACTTTCTCTGGTGTAGAACATTTGGTTTATGACCAGTCCATAATTCCTGTGGTTGTAGTTCTCTCACAACTTTCCCTGGGACCTGTTGTTGATACTTTTCCTTCCTTGGTTTTGCCTCACTGAGTTGGGCAAATAAAATCATGGTTTGAAGACATGGAGTGATAGAAGAGCCTAAATGTTGAATTCTCCAAGAGAAAACTGAGGAGAAAGAAAATGGCTTACTTTTCCAAATTGTTTAATGCTGATGTTGCTTGATTGGAGCCAGAACCTGACTGGAGCAGCAAACGTGACTGGGCAGAGATGGAGGAGAACTGCACAAAGCAGTGCTGAGGGAAAGGAAACTCCCTTTCCTAAAGCAGATGCAGGGGGAAGAACAAGTCTGTGCTGCTGGGAGCACTGGGTACATAGGTGAACTACTAAGGTTGCTGACTTCAGGATGTTACTGGGGAGCTTCAGGTAAAGGAGCTGTGTCTTTCTCAGTGAGGGAAGCAGCAGGGGTAAGTCCAGGGGTGGCAGGAGTCATGCCATCTGGTGGGAAGAGATGCAAAAGGTGAAAGGGCTTCTCTTTGATTTGCTCAGTAAAAAAGCAGAGAGCAGACTCTGGGATATCTTTGCTGTCTTAGTTGTCAGGAGGCTGTGTGTCTGACTGCACTGTATTGCCCTGTGTGCATAGACATGGCAGGGCTGGAACACCCTTTCACTGCACTTCTTGCAGCAAGTTAACTTAAACAGAGGAAGTTTAGATTGGAGGAGGAAGTTCTTTACTGTTAGGGCGGTGAGGCACTGGAATGGGTTGCCCAAGGAAGTTGTGAATGCTCCATCCCTGGTGGTGTTCAAGGCCAGGTTGGACAGAGCCTTGGGTGGCATGGTTTAGTGTGAGGTGTCCCTGCTCATGGCAGGGGAGGTTGAACTAGTTGATGTTAGGGTCCTTGCCAACACTAACTATGCTATGATTCTATGATTCTAAGTTGCACACCGCTGCCACTCCACTGCTGCCCACCTACTTACCTGCTGGAAACTTGCGGGTAATTTAGTAAGATGGTCTCTGTGTGCCACTTATGTTGAGTGTGGAGACTTTAAATCCCACTATTTCGGTGTAATAATCCAGGACTTTATTGCTGTTTTTTCCAGGGTCTGAGATCCTGGATGTGTTGCTCCAAGCCTCTTACAGGGTGGCTGGAGGGTCTCCTGTGAGTAACTGGATCTGCCTCTGGCAGTGTTTCATCCCAAAGTATTACTGAACATCTGAAGGCCTCTTGTTTTTCTCTCAGCAAGACAAATTAGCAAAATAGTAACAACATTGTTTATCAGTAGAAATAGAGAGGGAATGGAAAAAATCACTACATTAGGAGTGTCCTCGGTGTAAACCAGTGGTAATTTTCATCCACTCTCACACTGTAGGCCTGCATTGCCTTCAGCTGTAATTGTATTTTTATTGCTATGTGAATAATGTTGCTCACTGGAAAGAATATTTTAAAAGAAATGTGCTCTGTGTTAATTAAGAATTATTTATATACTAAAGCTGATTGTGCTGTATTAAATGTGATATTTATCTACTAGATGACAAGCAGATGTCTAAATGACCTCCTGGGGTTCGTTTCAACCTGAATACTCTATGAATCTGTGATTCTATACTGTAAGTTAAAACATATGAAATGTGATTTTCATTTGTAATTTAAGGTTAGATTTTTCTTAAATATATATTCTATATATAGAAATAGAAAAAAAATTAGTATCATAACAATTAATATATTTGTCCTCTAGTTCCAGTCTTAAAATTTTATCTCTTTGCACTAAATGTATATTTTGGTATCAAGATTAAGTTGAAAAATTCAGGGTAAGTGATGAAATATGAAAAATATATCTGAAAGTTATTTATAGCCTAATAGGACATGCTGAAGAATAGAAAAACTTAAACTGCCGTATATTTATGCATTGGTGCCTGACGCAGTATGGATTACAAAGAAATATCTCTCCCTACATGTATGAAATGCCAAATGGTTTTCCCCATGGCATGGCAATGAATTACCTTACAATACATGACTCCATTAGATAGAAGCCTTCACAGTACGTAACAAAAAAGTGGCATTCATTTCATCCAGGCAGTAGCCAGGTCATACCTAGCTTGTATATGTGTCTGTGTATGTATGTTATGATTATTTTGCTGTTGGTAAAGCAAAAGTACTCTGGGCCTGATGTCTCTTTTTTGGCCCAGGTTCAGGGGGCCTGGTCAGGGCAAATCCAGATGAGCACGGGTGTCATGCTGGTGGGCAACAGCCCGTCCTGACACTTCACTAGCAATTAACCATCCAGAGAGTTGCTGCCATGTGCTCCTTAGTGGCCCCGCTACAGTGCGATGTGTGAAACAGCAGTCGGAGCATGGAGGAGACACTGCAGGCTCTTCCTGCAGAGGCCGGGTGATATGTAACCACCGACAGGCAGATGGCACCAGCTGGATATCTAATTTATAGATAAATTGGGATTTGTTGCTATGAAGCTATATGATCACATCCATTCATGGTGCTGTGGCCCATAGAAGTAACGCAGCCTTTGGCACAAGTATTACTTTCATAAAAAGTATCACTGCAGAGCAGTGACTGGCTTTAGCTGGGCACAGCAGTTGCCAAAGTCTTCTCCTAAGCAGTGCTGCCTGCACACAGTGGTGTATAGTTCTCAGAGACTGAACTGCACAGTAATGGGCCAGGGAAAACACAGGCTGGTCTGATGGAGGTAATGGTACAGTTTTTCCTTGGGATTCTGCTTCATTGTGTGTAATCAGGGGCCAGCATCCTGTCAGTCTTCTTAAAAAAAAACATGCTCCACTAACAGCAAAAAAGCCCATGAATAAGCAGAGATTAGGTACCTGTCCAAGGAGAATTGTGGTGTGCTCATGCAGATTGATGTGGTAATCACCTCTTGCAATCAGGCTGTGGGACATGGGGCACTTCTTCCATTCGATACCCACATGCGAGTAATGATCTGTCACTTCCCCATCACCATCTGTGCATCTAGATCAGAAATGCCGACAGTAGCAGGGGCTTTGAGCAGAGGGGACTCCATAGTCAGGCTGCAAAGACAGCGGAGGGGAGGATGGTGGTTTATTTTCTAAAGAGCAACTGGAGTCTGTGTGTGATGGATGTTAACATGTAGCATCTTATGTAGACTAGTTTCTTGATTTTAACTATTTCTAGAATGAAAAGTTGTCAGTTTGCTCAATGCTGCAGATCAAACATGTTGTAGAAGAAAAAATTATATTTTTATTCCAAATATTTTTGTGACGTGAGTGGAAAGCTTCTAGTTTATTTCTTGAAAATATTGTGCAGAGTTCCTGTGAGAAGGGTATGTTTGCTAAATGAAAGAATAAATGTTACACTGCTTTTATAACAAACTCAGAAAGGAAATAAAGATATTGTATGTAACAAATTGTAACATGATCTTATTTTAATCTGTCCAATTTCTCTGTCTGCAACGTGAAGTACAGAGCACCTCAGAAGAGGCTATTTATAATAGCTCTGCAAGGAGTTTGTGTTACTGTTTGTTTTTCCTGTGCTGCATAAATCATAAATAACTTTTGTTGGAGATTACTGGGGCCTGTATCTAAACAGAGGTTTTTCCAACAGACCTAGGGCTTTGGAGGGATTTTGGTTCTTGGATTTTTTGTTGTTTGCTTTTTTGGGGGTTTTGTAACTATTGCTATTTAAAAAGCCTGTGGAAGTAACCGATATAACTAAGACTCCTATCCTATCCTATCCTATCCTATCCTATCCTATCCTATCCTATCCTATCCTATCCTATCCTATCCTATCCTATCCTATCCTATCCTATCCTATCCACTACATTGCTAACCTAGGATGTATAATTTACTCCTCACTGATTTTTTTATGTCATCAGTCCTTGCAGGGAAGGAATGGACCTAGGCAGCACCTTTGCAGTCCCATGTGTTTGATTCTCAGGAGCCAGAGGAGCCTCTCAGCCTGAGCTTCCCCCAGCACTGTGCCTTGCTGGGGTGCATATCCAAGCTGGAGCAGTGTCAAGCTCCAGGCACCTCTGGAGCGAGACATACGGCAGGGCCCAAAGTAAAAGCAGAACCGATGTGGTGTCCTGGTGGGATGCTGACTGAAAAGGTGTCTTGGCTCTCAGCAGTGACCTGGCTGTTGCATTGCTGCCTTCTGCGCTCAGAGATCTGTAACAGGCTTTGGGCAGGGCTGTAAACCAGCAGGGCTCTACAAACACAACACCTGACCCAAGAAATCTGGTTTTCTTCCTGCCAAAGGGAACCACGAATTGGCCGTGTTTCCTTCAAGAGGTGTAATGGTATGAACTACCTGCGCTGTAAAGTTTTATGGGGTGACAAAGTTCTGTAGCCTGGCAACAGTGCAGTCGAGCTGGAGGCCATCGGATGCCCTGCCAGGAAAGGGAGCTGCACCCTCTCTGGTCAGCCCGAAGAGTGCCCCAAGGAGTGCCAGGCTGCTGCTTCTCCAGCTTGGGACAGACATGATCCAGAGGCTTGGTGCTGTGGGAAGAATGGAGCAGTGCCAGCTCCAGCTCTCTCACCAGCTCCTGCTCCCTCTTAGGGCATATATTTATTTACATTTGGGCTATGAAATGGGAAGCTAAATACCAAGGTATGACATAGGTATGCCAGGGCATATAGTTTATTTAGAAGACAAAATACCGTTTGCAAGCCTTACAGATTTTTCTGTTGATAGTTACTACTTTGCAATGACACTTCTGCCTCCCTCTCTCCACTGGGATCAAATGGGTCTTATTTCTGAAAGCTGAGAAAATAGATGCTCATAAAGTAAGCTGCCAGTATTGCAGTTGTCCCTCCCAGCACTAGATGAGTCTTTAAGTCCTATTCTGGTGGAAGTTTGTGAATTTTACACACATGTGTAAGTCATTTATCTACCACATTGCTGCAGGAGCTGTAAGCGGATATTGCCTTTCCTTGCACCTCACAGCGGAAGGTTGCAGGGTCCTGCACTTGGCAGCACATGGTTGCTGCTGCTTGGTATTCACGGGCACATTCCTCCAGCTGGTGATATATTATTATTGGGCTGGAAGAAAAATAATGCAACCAAGCTCTTATTATTTTGTCCTTTTATCAGTTTGGTCATTTTAATGTGGGATGATCATTATATAAATGCACAGGAGATACAGTCAAGGACACATTCATTTTTAAAGTCCTCCAATGCTCTTGTAGTTCAGTCATTCCTCTTCTGTCTTTAATTACAGCAAGTGATCTCAGAGGCACTTAAAAGATTAAATTACTCAATTATTTGAAAAACCCAAATGGAATAACTGTATCTCTTTTCTGATAAATACCAGTGATTGCTGGAGAAGGTTGCCCAAGGCAAGAAACGCTGGGAGGCCAAGGAGGCCATTTTGTAACACTTTGGCTTAGCCTAGTGA